ATTGTAGTAATTTTGTGATGAATTTTGTGTATTTCTTCGTTCTGGTGATCTTCCTCTATAACTTGAGTTATATGGGGATTGATTTCTTGTATAACTTGTATTGTTCGGAAGTGGCTTTCCTGAACTGTTGTTGCTGTATACATTTTTGTTTGGTAGATTTTGATCTTTTTTCATGTATTGATAGAATGATTTATTTGGTTCTTTGTATTTTTGAGGTTTATTTTGACTATCTTGCTGTTTTTGTCTACATTCGGAAATACTATGTCCGTATCGTCGGCAATAATTACACCATTTTTTGAAAGATGGTTTGCCTTTAAAGTTTGGGTTCTTTTCGTAAATATTGAGTATTTCAGTGATTTTTTCAACGAGGTCTGTTTCTGATTCTTGTATATTATTAATATTAGTGGGAGTCGTTTCAATTCTGTTAACGTATTGTAATTTCAGATTTTCCGTTTCTTCTAGTTTCATCGTGATTTCTGCTTGTTCTAATTTGTCTACTAGTTTTCGAAAATCTAAATCGGGTTCTCGAATTGAAGAAGGATGGGATGCTCTCTTTTTTATTGCTATTTTCCTTAATTGTGGTGTTAAGGTCATCATTAAGATTTCTGTCATCTTTGTGTTTTTATAGTCATGTGTATTTAGTGAGTATGCTTTTCGAACTAGTGTTTCGATTCGTACTGCTATTTGCTTGATGGTTTCGTTTGGTAATCTGCGAATTTCATTACATAAAACTCTTTGTTGTTGTTTGTTTCTTTCGGAGTCAAACATTTTTGAAAATTCCTGTGTAAACCTTTTCCAGTTTGATTTTATTTCTAGAGGTAGTACTGAAAACCATTTTTGGGCTGCGCCATCTAAGGTTGTTTGTATTAACGCTGTGCGTCGATGTATCCAATTTTGATGTAGTGGCGTATTAATTGGTTCAGGTCCAATGTTTAAAATCAGGTTTGCTGTTACTGCATTTAAATAATCTTCTACAGAGTATTCAGGGTCTGTTCCTGTGAAAACCATTAAAGGTTTGTTTGATGTTATTGATGATCCACCCATAAGGTATGGATTCATTGTCATTTGTAATGATTCTGCTGCATTTGGCATTTGAGAAAAATTTGAAAGTTGGTTTCTTGTTATTTCATGTTGTTGGAGATAATATGGGAGTGGTATTTCATTTTGCATTTGTGATGCTTGATACGAGTGTGTAGTCATTGGATTTTTTTGTTGAATTGGTTGGAAAGATTGTGTATTAATTAGATTTTGTTGTTGAATTGGTTGTTGATTTTGTGCATCTATTGGTTGTGGAGAAAAATTTCTATGATTTGTACGTGTTCTCTGTATTCCTTGTCTACGGTATTCTTGAGTATTTGGTGCAAATATATCTTGTTGTAAGAAATCATCATCTGAGGATAAATAATCCATTTGATAAGATGTTTGTTTTTTATTTTTATTCTGTTGAAAAAATGGGTAATTTTCACTGCGATCCTGTGGAGGATTTGGTTGAAAATTTTTGGAATTATATTGGGCCGTTGGGTTATCCCAGTTTCGAGGTTTTGTATATTGATTAAAATTCCTTTGTGGTTGATAATTTGTTTTTGATGGATGTGTATAATTATAATTATGGTCTGCAAAGTTGTTTCTAGTGAATGTTTTGCGTGTTTTTGATGGTATTATCATGGGTCTGTATGTTTGGTAATCCATATGTGAATATTTAGGAGCAACCGAAGGTTTAACGGTTGATTGTAAGGTTACCTGTGTTTGTGAAGGATTTGTATTTCTTGGTGTTGTTAAATTCGGGCGTATTGGTGAAATACTTTGTTGTGTAGTTGTTGTGTGTACAATTTCTTCATTTATGAAGTGTGATGGTGTCTGGATATCTTGTTGAGTAAGATTCCTAGTTCCATTGAGGTTTTCGTTGTGTATGACTGTAGAGTTTAAACTATTATTTTGTGTATCGGGTAAAAATGTATTATAGTTTAATGGTGTTGCATCAATTGTTAATGGTATTACTCTTACATAATCTCTTATGTAAGATATTGTACCTATTGCTTGACTTGAGATTGATTGTGGAAAGCTTATAAATGCGGGATGAGACCATTCGGGGTCCCAAACATAATCTGATTGTTCTGTGATAGCGGTATCATCGTTCGAATTTTGGGGTCTAAAATTTTTTCTTGCTTGTGCAATTAAATCAATATTGTGTGTGAAATAATCTATTATGAACCATGCCAAAATTTTTTGTAAATCGTGTTTGGTATGTTGTGAAACGTCGTCTTTCGTGAAATTTTCTTTAATGATGTTTAAATAACTAGAGAGTAGTGTGATTTCATGTCGTACTCTTAAATGTTTAGATGTTTCTGTCGGTGAGACATTTGTTATTGGGATTTCGTTTTCTAATATCGAAATATAACTATATATTATTGCGAAAACTTCATTGGTGAAAATGGAATTTGCTCTTTGTGAGTTATGGTATTGAATGCTTTTTATATATTCTGAAAAAACTTTTGAAAATTCTAAATCAAGATCGTCTGTTTGAATTGTATATTTTCTATTATTATGGTTTGGGGAGGTGAATTCTATGGAGTAGATTCCATACTGTTGTGTTATGTTGCATATATCTTTTAGATAGTGATCTATGATTTGTCTTTTGATTTTTACATCGGGGAACTCTGTTTTACATGGACTGATTCCGGGTTCAAATAAATTTACGAGTAAATTTTGACAAAATATGTGTTGTCCTCTATCAGTATCTGCATCTACTATAAAAGGAAAGATTTCATCATCATCTGGAGTTTCGTCACCTGGGGTGTGTGTTGAACTCATTTTTCCGTTCGATGACTGTTAATATGTAATTATTAATGTGTCGAATTGGTTGATTCCAATTGTATAGATGTACTGGTTTGTGTTTGTACTGTTTTTTTATTCTTCTTTTTCCTCTTTGTGATGAATTTGAAGTTGTTTCTGAGTCAGAAAAATATAATTGATCGTGAAGTGGGTAATTTTTATCTATTGATTCTTTTAGTTTGTAAAGTTCGTCTAAACTGTTGGTTTCTGATTCTGAAAATGCGTTTCGATTTTTTGAAAATCTTTTTCGTGTTATTTGTCTTTGTTTAGTTATTATTTTCCTCTTTAGTGTTTGTCGTTTTGTGCGAATGTATCCAACTGTTTGTGTATGAGGTGTGATTACAAGGTCGTATTTTTTGTTATCTATTTCACAATTGTGTAAAATGATTGTTTGTTTATTTCCTAGGTTTTTAAATGACATAAGGTTTAGGATGACGGATGCAAAAGGTTGTTAAATGATTTCTATTTTCCTAAACTGTTAGTTCTTACGATTTTTTGGTTAGCTTAACCTGGGTCTATTTGTTCAGGGTTGGAGAGAAAAGTATATCGATTCCGAAGAATGATTTTTACTTTCTCGTGACTAGTATAAGCTAAGGTGTTAACTTACTTAATCTTACTTAGGGGTAGTGATTGTGTTCAAGGGTTGGAGAATAGTAAATCGATCCACAAGGTTCAGGTATAATTAGAACGCGAGTAGTTCGTTAGATACTATTTTAAACTTACTAAGTCTAAGATTTATCCTGGGTCTGGTAAGAGGGGGGGTCAAGTGAAGGATGAATAACCGAAGTTCTTCACTATTTATCCTAATTTGAATGATTAGTTTTGTTTAAAAATTTCTATTAGTCTTGGGTCTTTAGAAAGGGTTGGGTAGTGAATCGACGTTTGAGGTCGTTAGACACTAATTAAGTGGGTGGGGGAGAACAAAGTTGTTCTGTTTGATCCAAGGATAAGCCTTGATGATCAAATTTGAGATTTTAATTAAGTAGAAAATGATTTAAGATCCAAGGATAAGCCTTGATGATCTGGTTTTAAAATTAAGTGAATTTAAGTTTTAATAAAATTTTAAATGTGTGTAAAGGAAAGATTTAGTGTTTTGATGATGTTAGTGGGTTTATGATTGCTGTTATGTTTTAGATGATGGAGCTGGAACAACAGGATGATTTATGATTACTAACCATTTATTGTCATGCTACTAATTTTTATTTTTATTTTCCAATAAATATTTTTCAAACATGTTTTGTATAATACTGCAGAGTTTTAGGAAAACGATCTTAGATCTTTTTATCAATCGTTATTGTATAATATTAATTTTGTTTAGCGCCTGAAATGATTTTGAAGAGTAACTTCAAGGTTTTATGTTTGCAAATGGAAATCTAAATTCATTGCAAGTAGTATTCGAAATATAAAAGTTTGTTCTGGCTTTTGCCGAACTATCATATAACTATACGGCAAGTTTCTACTTTGTCGTATATCGTCTTTGGTTCGAGGTCTTCTTCCAATTCCGGGTAGTTCTGTTATGGTTCGGAATATTGGCTCTGATCTATTGAGTCGGAGAGACATTTCGATTAAATTATTGTCGTATAACATTTTGTAAATGTTTTTGTCTAATTTCTAATCTATTTTGGTTAATTCTAATCTAGTAAGGTCTTGTTCGAGACTTATGGTCGCACCAGATGAGTTAGGACTGGTGGGTATAACTCATAGAGTAATTTCGGATAGGGTACACCGTCTGCTCGTCACGCTATCTTATTTTCGGCCGGATAGATTCGTGCAACTTCTTAGTCTAATACCGATCCTAATCTTACTCTTATACTATCTAGTCTCAGGTTGTTTAACTAGTCTCTGCTAGGCTCAATAGATCTAGGGTATACTGGTTTATTGCGGCTGCTGAAGTGCTCGGGAGAGTCCAACTAATTTCTAAGTTAAATTCAAATCTCTCTGGTGCTGAAATTACAAGTAACTTCAGCACTTACAAATAAGTGGGTTGTTAGTTAGATGGATCATGATTGGTTAATATTAAATACTTTACATTGGTAAAACATTTAATTTATCCAATCATAAAATATAGTTTAGATCAGGTTCCACATTGTTCAGCGTCAGCTTTTAACATACGCTTCAACAGCCGCCGCATATTTATTGAGTGTGTAATTTGTGGCGGCCGTGTTTAGACCGTCAGTCTATTGGCCAGACAAAGATCCGGATAAAACAACTGGGGAGGGGGCTTCTGAGAGGATAGCAGAACTAGCCAAGCCCAAAGAGAGGAAGGACAAAGACATCAGGTAAGAACCACAACTTCTCTAACAAGTCAAACGGGAAAATGAAAAGAAACAGTAAATGTGTTGGAGACGAGTTCTCACACAACAGAAGGCTACCGAAAACTTCTGGACAGTCAAACTACCACCAGGCATTGACTTCATCGTGTAAAACTTATGGGTCTTTTTGAATTCAAAAATCCGATACTATTTCAGAAGCACTGTTGCATACTTATGTTTAGCTCAATTTCAAATCCAGTTTTCACTCAACTTTTATTCTTTGTTTTGGTAGTCTTTAGGTTCTGGGAAGCAATCTTGATTGAGTCATGCCTGCACAGAGAAAGATACTAATTGTTTTTTTTTATCAAAGAGTTTTGTATATAATTGGGGAAAAACATCACCAAAGTGCTTAAGAGAAATTGAGAGAAAGAGATGAGTTGAATTTGTGCGACAGAGATCCCGAGTGGGAGGTGAGTGGAGCTGCGAAGAGCACGAAGCCCTCGGAACGACTAGAAGCACTGAGCAAGCCAAAGGACTACCCAGCACCCCACGTAGTGCCAGCCTCCTTCCAGCAACAGCCACAGCAGCAGCTGCAGCAGCAGCAGCAAATGCCGGCAGCCGGTCAACGGGAGAAGTCCACTGCTGGCATGAAGCCCTCCCAAAGAGTGGAAGAGTTGGCCAAACCTCGCAAAAAGCTCCAGCAGGACTACGAGGTACAAATTTTTGAAACTTTGCTGTAACTAAAGGCTAAATAAAAAGAAAGAAAAAGCTGTTTTGAAAAAAAAACTTTTTCATCGATGCTTAAGGGTTGTGAGAGCAACTTAGGCTTTGCCTTCATACCAGCAGTCTTGTACGTGTTTACTGAACCAGCACTGTATTGTTTTGTATAGCCAGAGTGGGGTTCGGTGGAGCCGGGTGCTCTGAAGGCCACTGCCTCCCAGAGAGTGCAGCAGCTGGCACAGCCCAAACCCCTCCCACAGCACTACCAGATGAGAAGAGACCCCTCATGGCAGGTACACACTAAAAAAAATATTAGAGATACCAATTTTCTGGACACAGTTGCTCCTATTAACACTGTGGGTACGATGGATGATCCTTGTCATCCGGTACGGATAGATAAACTTAGCATCATTGATGCATACATTTATGTTTGACATATTGTTATAAATTCATTAACATGTTTGGTCAATTGACCTTGTACGACTGTACGCCGAAGTGGTAACATGAGCAATAGCTCAGACGATATTTTATGATTCTTAAGAACAATTGTTTTATCAAAATCACATCAAAGATTCCGTTTATCAATCCGTTCGGGTTCGATATACTCACGTTCATACATTGAGATATGACATGGCGCAGTCAGCAGGATTTTCGAAAAACCCGCTAAACATCAGCCCATTCTGGGAGACACCTCTGACTGATCCACCTCTCGAGTGGTCGAAATGGGCAGCAATATTCGAAATGGCAGTATTCGCGAAGGAAGGAATCGAAGTAAGAAATCTACAATGAAATGAACCACCACCACTAGTTGAGTCTACAGAACGCATTTATGAAGTTGAGATAACGGGGGAAACATAAGCACAAAAGAAAAACCAGGAAGTTAGAAATCAAGAAAAGACAGTCGACTGGGAGAACCATTTGGTTAAGGTCAGAGAAAAAGGAGTTTTATGCAATTCTTTCCGGTGGGATGAGGCCGACGCAAAAGTACGAAGCTACTTTTTTTCTGGCACGGCGCCGAGGGGCAACGACAAGTTCAACAAAAGCGACCAAGCCTTAACCTACATACGGTGACTACAAAAAATTTATTAACGACTTAAGAAGATATTTTTGTCACAACCAGAGTTGTGGCGTTTGAAAGATATAATTTTATTTGTAGAAAGCAAAAGAAAACTGAAAGTTTTGAACAATTCCACGCGGATCTAGTTGAACTGGCCTCAAGGGCAGACTGTGGAGACCGCAAAGACGAATGGGTAAGAGACATGATCACTGCACATATGCACAACGAGAAATTCACCGAGGAGTTACTAGCCCAAACGCGAAACCCACATGATGCATATGAATTTGCAATACGACGGGAAAAAGGTATCGAACATAGTCGCACAATGAGCACGTAGCCTTTTGGAAATCAAACCACAATAGATCAAGAGCCAATGCATCATATCAACAAACGTGCACGCAGTAATTATGCAAATAATCAGGGCTCACAGAGAAGTCGGGGCGATTTTCGCGGTCGACCATATACACGTGGACAACGAAATACAAAGGGTCAACAACAACAACAACGAAAAATGAACTTCAATACCCAGAAACATTTTTTACAAATGTGGTAATCAATTCGGAAAGAACCACTTACAATCGTGTTCCGCAAAGGTCAAAATTTGTTCAAAATGTGCAAAACGGGGGCACTTTGCGGAAGTGTGCTATCCAGGAAACTTCACTTATATGGGGGACCGCAATTATAAGGAAGAAAAGGAGGAACTTGAGACGCAGAGTCAAGAAACGGACAAAGATCCAGTAGCATTCGCAGAATTTACATCAAATAACGGTTGGGATGAATACCAAATTGATAATTTTTCGGTAAAGGCATCTTGGGAAGTTTTCGAAATTAAAAACACGGCCAATGTATCAGAAGATGATCCTATCGGACACAAAGTTAAATTAAAGACGAGAACAGAAGAACTATCGCAGAATCCGGGAGTATAATGTCGTTTCTAAACAAAAAAACAGCTCGGCGGCGGCATGAAAATGACAAATCAGCATTGTTCAAACGTATCCCACCGGATGACGCCGCATGAAATTTGGCAAGTTACAATGGCAAAAAACTCAATCCAAAAGGAAGATTGATCATAACAATCAAATCTGGAGGCTGGAAAAAACAAGCCGCCCCATTCATCATTGTTGACGATCAGAAAGCGAACAACATAGGTAGAATAATATTACCACAGATTGGAGTTAAACTAGTGCAAGAAAAACAAAAATGACGAAAAGTGCTGAACATACACGAACCAGAGGAATCAAACCATAATATCAAAAAATGGGTTAAAGGCAATTTCCCACACTTATGTGTACGCATTGGAAAAAAACCACGTGATGCGAACGCAATTTAGCAAAGACATTTTTCCGATCCAAAAAAAGGGACGCCGTATCACAGTGCACCTGCAAGAACGAGTCAAAAAAGAACTAAACAAGCTTTTCGACCAAAAACACATAATAAATTTGGATAAAAGCTCGGACCGACAATTCATTAGTCCGATCGTAATTTCCCTGAAAAAGGACCAGACGGTGAAATTGGCTTTAGATTCAAAAAAAATAAACAAATTTATTCACAAGAACAAAAATCGAATGCCTAATATTGATCCGCTATTAGCCAACATAGCACAAATGGTGGAATCGAACAACAATCATTAAGTTTTAAATTTTATTCTCAACATTAGATTTGCGTTATGCCTACTCACAAATCCCCTTGGATAAACCAACTCAAGAGCAATGTTATTTCCGTTTAATTGGTAGCAATACCACCGGGACCTACCAAATTCAAACCGGATTTTACGGCCTCACGGTTATTCCAGCTGAATTTCAGAAGGCTACTGATTTGACACTCACCAATTGCTCAAATACGTACGCATATCTGGACGACATACTCTTATTAACGGAAGGATCACTCGATATACTTAAACAAAAACTTCAAACTATATTGGAAAAGTAGATGCGGAAAACCTCGCAAAATCACTGGACAAATTTAAGTTTTTCTGGAAACAATTTGAGTGGTTAGGGTTCAGCATAAACAGCGAGGGTACCAAACCATTAATTAGCAAACAGAAGCGATTGAAAAAACTATCACGACCAAAAACATTTAAACAACTTAAAATGTTTATGGGCTCCATATAACCTCTTACCAGATACATTACTAATTTAGCACAGACAGCAGCCGCATTGAGGCCTTTGCTAAAAAAACACAGAGAAAAATAAACCAACTAACTGAAACCCGAAACACAATACATCATTTACATATATAATTAAATTAGTTTCTCAAATAACACAGAACAATTATTTTGATCAATATTTGCAAACACGCATAGTATGCGATGCCTCCAAATCAGGTTTAGGAGAACAACATTCAAATGAAGGCGGGGTGCATCACGTTTCTTGATTTCTCCTGAGGAAAAGTATTCAGTTATTGAGTTAGAATTTCTTGGGGTAGTTTGAACATTTCAAATACTATCTTTGTGGAAAACATTTTACCGTCATCACTGATCATCAAGCTTAGATCAACGCTTTAAAGAAAAAGATCAAAAACTAGTCAAAGCAGGTTAACACGCTGGATTGACCGACTAATTTCATTCCATTTTGATATCAAAGATATGGCGGGTAACAAAATGAGACTATATGTCAAGAAATCCAGTCGGATCGGCAATACCTTCAAGCGAGTACGATGGGGAATTTGTTGTAGCATCAATTAATGCATTCATAAACAACCTCGAAGTGATTAACAATGTCATTCTGAACAATTTAGCCAATCAAAACCTAGCACCGTGTCAGCTGATCAAAAAGCGCGCGGAAAATAAACGGCTGACAATTAACACTTCAAATATTCAATTGAAAGAACAACATTCCGGAAATTCCGGAATTGGTCAACCACAAACGCTGAGACAAATTCAGTCCTGCTCAACTTGATCTGAAATTCAATCAACTTTCTCTCAGAAAAACATTGCAGCGATCACAAAATCAAAAAAATCTTGACAATAACATAAACGCAATGCGAAAAAAAAACAGAAAGAAAGACTTTGGAACCTCGAGGCAGAAAGGACGAAAAAACATCCAAGTGGCAGGGATCTTCTGACAGAGAGGAGAGCTTATCCGACCCACTGTGGCATAAGCGACCACCAACCGCCAGAAAACAAAATAGAACAGACATAAGCAATTCATCATTAAAGGAATCCATCAAGGACGCGCGCGAACTTCTTTCATCGAAGCCATCGTTGAAGAGTTTTCGAAAAATCGTATTCAGTGAAGAAGCGACGAAAACACAAACGCCAAAAACACTCAAAGTAAAGTCGCACAAGCCATACAAACCGAAGACAACAAGGCAATGACAGGCACACAAACAGATAACCCACAACCAGAAACTAAAAACACTGTGTAAGCCGAGTCAACCCCAACATTGTCAGTCAGGAGGAATACGAACCAATGAGGAGCCCCCCACAATGACCAACACGCAACTCGAGGTAAGCCATCACATGATTACGGAAAGGTTGGTGGCCACAATCAATCAGAAAACAATGACGGAGTCAGAAGCGAACACACCGCTGTTTCGTCAAAAACTACAAAAGGTGCTTGGCGTAAAATTCCTTGCCGCCGCTACCAAGAAAGACGGAAATTTAAGACCACTCATCAACTTGTTATAAAACGGGATTGGGAATCGAGTAACTCCTCATAAGGTCAGTATTGGCACAAACTACATAACCGATTACAGTCCGCGAGGAGTGCCTGCTCATTGGCGAACATATCGTCTTTCCTACACAGCTGCGTCAGACAGTGCTGGACAGTCTACACTTGACACATCCAGGATCGGCCGCTATGCTGGACCTGTGCCAACACGTATGGTTCCTGCACATACACTGATCAATCGTCCAAATGACGCAAAGCTGTAAACATTGTACATAACAAGGTAAAATTCTCAAAACAAAAATAGGAAAGAAACACTCATTCCAAATGGAACCTGTCGTAGAACCTAATGAGGAGGTACAATTAGATTTTGCCGGGCCCCTCCTTGATGAGCTAAATAAGGACGCGTACATCTTAGTTGCAATAGATAAAGGGTCAAAGTTCCCCACAGCAAAATTTGTCACAAATACCACGGCAGATGTCACCATAAAATTTATGCAACGGTATATTTCGAATAATGTAGTACCTCGACGACTTAGATGAGACCAATCTCAAGCATTTCAAGCCATAAAATTTCAACTTTTGTTAGTACAAACAACATAAAAAAATATATTCGCTCCGGTAGATA